CGGCGGAAGGTGCGCAGATCCGGGATCCTCCGTATCTCTGGGGGGAGCTCGTTCCAGATAGTAGGTGCCCCCACAGAGAAGGCTCTCCCCCTGGGGGCCGCCAGTCGGCATTGTTTGGCTGACGGCACCCGGAGGAGCCCCTCTCTATGGGAGCGTACCGGCCGGTGGGAGGCTATTGGTGGTAGTAGGCGGTCCCGCAAGTACCCGGGTCCTAAGCCATGGAGTGCTTTAAAGGTGGTAACCAAAACCTTGAAGCGCACCCGGAAGACCACCGGGAGCCAGTGCAGCTCGCGCAGGAGAGGTGTTACATGGGAACGCCATGTCGCTCCCATTACCACCCGCGCGGCCGCACTCTGCACCAGTTGGAGCCTCCGGGTGCTCCTCAAGGGGAGCCCCATGTAGAGAGCGTTGCAATAGTCCAGGCGGGAGGTGACAAGGGCATGAGTGACCGTGCGTAAAGAGTCCCGATCCAGAAAGGGACGCAACTGGCGAATCAGGCAAACCTGATGAAAAATCCTCCCGGTCACGGCCGTCAAGTGCTCTTCTAAAGACAGCCGTGAGTCCAGGAGGACGCCCAAGTTGCGAGCCCTCTCCGTGGGGGCCAATGATTCGCCCCCAATAGTCAGTGATGGCGTCAACTGACTATATCGGGACGTCGGAAACCACAGCCACTCAGTCTTGGATGGGTTGAGCCTGAGCCTGTTCCTCCCCATCCAGATCCGTACGGCCTCCAGGCACCGGGACATCACTTCAAGGGCATCGTTGGGGTGATCCGGGGTGGAGATGTACAGCTGGGTGTCGTCAGCGTACTGATGGTACTCCACCCCGAAACCACGGATGATCTCGCCCAGCGGCTTCACATAAATGTTGAACAGGAGAGGCGAGAGGACCGACCCTTGCGGCACCCCACATATGAGGGGCCTCGGGGTCGACCTCTGTCCCCCTGTCAACACAGACTGCGACCGGTCAGAGAGAAAGGAGGAGAACCACCGCAACACAGTGCCTCCCACCCCCAACTCTTCCAACCGGTGCAGCATGATACCATGGTCGATGGTATCAAAAGCCGCTGAGAGATCTAACAGGACCAGGACAGAGGAGCACCCCCTGTCCCGAGCCCTCCAGAGATCATCAACCAACGCGACCAATGCCGTTTCCATGCTGTACCCGGGCCTGAAGCCCGACTGGAACGGATCCAGATACGTATCCCTTATATTATAAGGGATAAATGGAATGCATTAGATTCATTGCGAAGTGTGCTGGTTTATTTGTTTTGTTTCTTTTATTTCATTTTTTCATTTTTTTATATTACATATTTCTCCAGGAGTTAAGCATAGACTTTCTTCCACATTCTTTTTCCATTGTAGCATGTTTCTTAGATAGGAGAAGCAGAAAGATGAGTATGCCAGGAAAAAAAATGGTTCTCTAACTGTGTGTGGACTTAAGTCTGTATCTTTTTTGTTCTTACTATATTGCTTATCCCCTACAGTCTACTGACTTTCTTTATAAAGTTGTTCTGGATTATTAAAGTCACAAATTTAAAAATTCTGTCAATTTGCATATAGTTTTACTGTGCACTTTTAGCTAGAATTCTAATTTTAGAATGTAAATGGCAGAACTGAAATTAGAAATTGACATATTAATGTATTGACTACTTGCAACAAGCTCAAATTTCAACAATTTATGAAAACTACTACAAAAATGTGGAATTTTATTGTTGGCAATCCTCCATATCTATATCTTTGTGCAACAGACTGAGAAATAATTTTAAATACTATTCTCTGTCTCTCTGTCTCTGCCCCTCTATCCGTCCCTTTCTGTCTGCCTTTCTCTCTCTCTCTCTTAACCACAGATGCAGAATATTGCAGCCAATGTCTAGATGCTGAGCATTCCAATCAAGAACAAGATCAATGTATTCCAAAATCAATAGATTTTCTCTCTTTTACTGAGACTTTGGGAATTGTGCTAGCTTCCTCTTCCCTCATTTTGTCTTTCAGCACAGTTCTGATACTCATCATCTTTATTAAACATAGGAAAACTCCCCTTGTCAAAGCCAACAACCGGGACATCACCTATGGCCTGCTTTTTTTGCTTCTGCTTTGTTTCCTTTCCTCCTTGCTCTTTATTGGAAAGCCTAGGAGAGTGACCTGTCTTTTCCAACAAATATTGTTTGGCATCATCTTCTCTGCTGCCATTTCCTCTGTACTGGCCAAAACCATCACAGTCATTTTAGTTTTCAAAGCTATACAGCCAGGAAACAAGATGAGAGACTGGCTGAAGAAAAGGGTGATTTACTCTATTATGCTTCTCTGCTTCCTTGGCCAGTTTGCAATCTGTCTTGCCTGGCTATCAATTAGTCCTCCCTTTCCAGATTTGGACTTCACATCCCAGAGGACAACGGTCACAGTTAAGTGTAATGAAGGATCAGTTGCCATGTTTTATTGTGTCCTTAGCTATATGGGCTTCTTAGCCTTTGTTAGTTTTATTGTAGCTTCCTTTGCAAGGAACCTGCCTGATAGCTTTAATGAGGCCAAATTCATTACATTCAGTTTGTTGGTATTTTGTAGTGTTTGGGTCTCCTTTGTTCCCACTTACTTAAGCACCAAAGGGAAATACATGGTTGCTGTAGAAATATTTTGCATCTTGGCCTCTGGTGCAGGATTACTGGGTTGTATCTTTTTCCCAAAGTGTTATATTATAATTGTCAAACCTGAACTTAATTGTAAAGATCACTTGATAAGAAAAGTTCATTAAACTAGATCATATCATATTTTTCTTTGCTTCTCTTTTTCATTTGCAATTATATTTTCAGTATTGTTTTTATCTTATATTTCATAAAATATATGTAAAGTTTCTTCATTAGTTTACTATTGAAAACAACCTATATCCATGTTTTAAATAAAGCAATATATTATAAAAGCACAACATTGCATAGTCAGCTTTCAACATATTTTCTGAAATATATAAAGAAGATCCCTCTGGTATGATATCAACCATGATAACTCACATTCATATGGTTATAGTGATAATTGCATGTAGCACTGTCAACTCTGTCACTAAGTGAGCAATCATAAAGTGAAAAATTATGTATCCATGTCTGATTTACCACTTCAGTTCTGGTTATGGACATTAGCAAATTATCTATAGTCATTAGGCACAATGTCACTTGACTAAGACCAGTAAAGTACTGTTGGCGTCCCCATTTATTTTGCTTGTTGGAAATCACCTCTTGAAGTCACAAATGGTGATCTTGTGACTACAGGACATTGTAGCCATTATAAATGCATAATGCACAATTATGGTCCAGTTCCTAAAACCTGATCACTAACAGCAGGGACACCGCAATGTCTGCAACTACAAAGACCAGTCATAAGTCTCATTTTCCAATCCTACTGTAATTTTGAATGTGTAATTGGTAAATGAGGACTATCTTCACCAACAGCCCAATGATAAATTTGTCACCTAAAACTAGTAGACAAGGCTAGATTTAAAAATTGAGTATGAAATCTGATAAATATATCACAGAAGCAAAATAGAATAATAACTCCACCACTTTACCTAGTAGAGAGCAGTTAATCTGAAAAGAGCTTCCAGATGAACATTTGCAGAGGCAATAAAGCCAGAGAAATGAGCCTGCCCTGCTGCCTATACTGCAACAGTATAATCCCTGAATATGAAGTCATGTCTTTGGTCATATTCACTCTTTGTGTATGGCATCATTCCTCTAGGATCATGAAGATCTATGATTAGTGGGAATGCAGTTGTGTAGAATTCATCCAAAACCCTGATCATCTCTTCAATTTAAAAGGCAATAAAATGCATGCATGACATATAGAATGTCAGAAATGCAACCAAGAGTCTCTTAGAAATCTTCTGGATCCATAAGGCATCTTATTACCTTAGTTTCTGTCTAAATATCAATGTTTCACTTGCATATAGCATGAGAGCACCAAAATTTATGATGAACTCAGGATTAGTTCAAGTATTAAAGTTCCTTACTTTTAATAATCTTTCATGGGAAGAAGAAAAAGATGGAGTCCCATCCCACAATTTAAGAACTGGTATCTAGTCACAGGCTAGACTGAACTGAAACTAAAGAATCTTATTTTGATGGTAATGTCACAGTCACTCTTTAACAAAGTATGTGTAGAGCAATAGAAATCTGATTTTACTTCCTTTATTAATAAAACAAGTTTTTCTTTCAATTTATTTTACAGATTTTTTAAAAAATACTCATTAGATTTTATGATATATTTTATAGCTTATATGGCTAGTATTTTTGTGAGCTGAGGAGGTGAGCACTGAGTATGGACTTGCATTCTCTGTATGTTCTCCATTCAGGGTTCAATAGAAGTGAACATGTTCACAGATGGGATTCAAACTGCTTTCCAAGAGTCTGAGCTGATAGAAATGCTTAGTGAATCATCACTCAGAATAACGTACACAAAATAGCCTAAATTATTACAGAATTATTTTTATTATTATAATTGTTTATAAAAATAAGCAAACTGAAACCCTTGGGAATATGAATAAACAGGACTCAAGTTAACGAGGCTATATCTTCCTCAAGTCATTTCTTCATCACCGACTATAAGTTCACCAAGTATCAGTCTCATCTCTTAAGACAACTAACAGCAACCAAGCTCATGTATTTTGAGAATGCAATCTGAGTAGATGGTATATTAGAAAAAATAAAATAAAAGGAATTTGAGAAAAAAAGTCAGGGATAAAATGAATAAATGTAAAGTGCTGAGTCAAGATTGTCCATATAAAGCTCAGGACTTAAACCAGATTCACTAGGAACTAATTAAATATACCAATTAAGAATAGCAAACTAGATCTGGTGGAAAGCTATTTTGGGATCTTTGCCTGTGGATACATTCACCAAGTTGGAAGTTTTAGTGCCTATTGATGTGATGATACATCACTTTTATATCTGCTGTACCATAAAAAAACCAAGGATAGTATGATGAGTGGCAAATAGGATAGACATTTGCTTACAGTCAAACAGAAAAATGATTGATAGCTTTCCTCAAAGCTTGCTTTATATCTTTATTCCTCAGACTGTACACAAAGGGATTTACCAAGGGAGTCAAAATGGTATAGAACACAGAGCAGATCTTATTAAGATCTCTAAGGGTTCTGGTTTTTGGCAACACATATACTATCACTATAGTTCCATAAAAGAGTGTAACCACTGTAAGATGGGATGAGCAAGTAGAAAATGTTTTCTTCCTTCCTACAGTGGATGGAATCCTTAAAATGGTTTTTACAATGTAGCCATAGGAGACAAGGGTTAAAAGAAAAGGAAGTAATCCAAAGAGAGCTGACAGAATAAATATTAGAAGCTGGATTTTCATGGTGTTGCTACAGGATATTTGGAGTAATGGTGTAAAATCACAGAAAAAGTGATCAATTACATTAGGCCCACAAAATACTAACTGTTTTATTAAATAGGTGGGCACAGAGTTCACAAGAAACCCAATAATCCAAGAGCAACCTGCTAACTGCAAGCAGGTTTTCATACTCATAATAGTGACATAATGCAGTGGTTTGCATACCGCTAAATACCGATCATAAGACATGGCAGCAAGTAAATAGCATTCTGCTGTAGCCAATCCCCCGAAGAAATATAACTGTGTGAAACAGGAATTTAATGGCATCAACTGATTTCCAGTTAGGAAGCTGTCAAGCATTCTGGGGGAAATAGTTGAAATATAGCAGGTTTCTAAGCAAGACAAATTTATGAGGAATAAGTACATTGGAGTGTGAAGGTGAGGGTCAGCTACAATTAAGACAATAATAAGAACATTCCCTAGCATTGTCACAAAATAGATAACTAGAAACACCAGAAAAAGAAGGATTTGAAACTCAGAAATATTTCCAAATCCCAGGAGGATGAATTCTTTTATTACTGTTTGATTATTCTCTTCTCTATCTTCCATGGGTTGTTCTCTAGGTTACATCAAGAAGCTGCAGAGCCTATAGAAAACAAGGATTCCTCATAAAGAACTGATGCAAGATCTAAAAGTGTTCAGTATATAATTGTGAATATAGAATATGAATGTGCAAGAATATATACACTTAGTAAAACATAATAAGTAAGGTCTCTGGTCAGCAGTTGAATGGTAATCTCCATTATAGTCATCTGATATACCTAGGATCTTTTCTCCTAGAATTAAAGATCTTAATTATGTCACCATTCTTCAAATTCTAGCTATGCTTCTCATATATGAAAACTTTTAACAATGGTTGTAAGAATCATTGTCACTCATGGCATAAAACTGATTTAAGTTCCTTATTTAAGTTTTCCAGTTGAAAACATTTTGTTGTCATCATCCTCATCCCTAAAAAAAAAAAAAAAAAAACATCCTAGGCATGCTTACAATAATGTTCTGATGGGAAGAGATGTAAACGCCCATTGACTTTTCAGCTGCTCCCACAAGGAGCTGCAATCTTCAAGATTCTCCCTCTCTGCTGGTTCCACAGCCATACAAAAGTTGTTTTGGTTTATTCCTAAGTGTTCACCTTTAAATCCAGGGGGCAAAACTGCAAAAGAATCAGCTGTGGCAGCAAACACAGCAGCTTGTGAATAAGAGAGAGGAAAAACCCTTACTCCTCAGCAGCCATCCTATCCTCATCATCTGCTTTATTCAGTCATACTAACCAAATAATGTGTATTAAAGATGTAAAAAGATAAAGACTACATAGATATAACCATATAGTTTTATTGGCAACAGTTCAAAAATAAGTTGTCATAGCTTTCTACTGAGTACTTTCTGACTTCCCATTCTATCTGACAGCTCTGGAATTCACTTGTGCTTTCCCATCAAAAAAGGCAAGAATTTATTAACTAGATCCTGCCACTTGCATGAGACCATTTTAAGGTTATCTGTTTTCTTATTGCATGAAGGTCTTTGTTTCATATCCTAATATTGTACACAACAGTCTATAGGGAGTAAAAATAAATACCTGAGATCCAGCTCCATGTGTATTTAATGAAGTGAACTGAAATGGTAAAGCTGTTAAAAATATCTGGCAGATTATAAATGTTTATCCAAGTGTGGTCAATTCAACATGTTTTAATCCTTATATTCAAATGTGCAGAATGCAGACTTCTTCCATGAAATCATGATTGTAATTTCCCTTTCCCTTTCCCGTCCTTGAATCTATAATATATAACACATTTGTCAGATGTAAATGCCTTATTCTCCAATGTGTAAATAGTGTACAGACAGGGTATCAGGGGTTAACTTATTCTTCACTTCTTAATGTATTCATAATTCACCACTCCCACATATAGCTCCACCCATTGTATATATAAGGAGCTACCTACACCATTTCCCTTGCTTCTATCTGTGAATATTCAGTGAATATAGAATGCCTAATGTAAATAAAAGAATATATAGTTAAATCTTTAACTCTTGTTGATCTTATTGAGTCTGATCCTGAAAATATTGCAACAAACTGGTAGCAGAGGATGGTTAATTGACTCAATAAAAAGCTTTAAAATGTCTAAGAAAGATAGGCCCAACACCAGGGCCTACAGCAAAGAAATGGAAACGGAACAAGAAATAATCAACGAATCCACGAATGCAATTTCGAGAGAATCCGAAGAATACACCACTGAAGACGAAGAAATAATTGATGACCAGGAGGAAATCGAAATAGAAAATAACGAACTCAGGTCAGAGATATTAAAACTATTAAAAAGCCAGAAGAATGATGAAAACCTCATCGCGAACCTCCAAGATATGCTAAAGAACAGCGGAGCAGCGAGAGAGAAAAACATCACCAATGAAAAACCCAAAGATCCAAAAATAGTGAGTAATATGACTGCGGAGAAAATCATTACAAAGAAGAAAAACGATGATCCCGCGCAAAAATTTGAATGGCGGCCATCTTGGTTTCAACCGGCCTCCAAGATGAACGAAGAAGAGCCAATCAGCAAGCTCAATTCAAAATTTCTGGCGCGAAAAATATTATCGGACAACGAAAACGAAAAGGAAGATTCAGACACCTCAGAAGAATCAGAACCAGAAAGCGAGGAAGATCCAACAAAACACCAAATAAAATCAGCGATGAAAACGCTCTTTGCTGCATTTGGGCCAAAACTGAAAATTACTAAAAAGACACCAAAAAAGCGAACGAGCAAGCCAATGCCTCAAGACCTGCCCGCTCCCATCCTGACTAATAGAGCGCTGACGCCGGAACCCAGAGAGCCCTGCCGATACCGCCCTACGCCGCAGACCGAAGCAAGCACCAACGCTTTCAATAGAAGAGGAAGAACAGCCACCGTCGCCAGAACCCCCAAAGTCGAACCAGAGACCGACTCATCTGAAGAGGAGCAGAGCGAGCGGGCCGCAATGAGGAGAACCTTCCACGACGACGCCGAAGAAGAAATGGACAACGCGCATGCGCGAAACTACGCTGACGATCCGGAAGACATGAACAGGAGAGAAGATCATGCAGACTCGTAGCGAGCATCCCCATGCCGTTTTGCAATTTTCTGCATTTACGAGATCACGGACTACCTCAGGTTGTAAGTAATGGACCCAATAATGTCGGAAATTTACCCAGTGACTTCCCAAAACTAAGGGTTGATGGCATTAATTTACAAGAATGGTATCAACAGCTCCAGGTTGTCTTTATGAAGGAAAACTTACTGTTTTTTATCACTAGTCCCCCAAAAAGACCTTGGACACTAAAAATAGATTGTTTACACCATAGAGCCTTTTTCTTAATAATATCTAGTGTGTCTCCTGCAATGTATCACAGCATTAAGCCAAATTTGACTGTTTCAGAAATTATCCAATGCATGTTTAATTTGTTTCACAGTGACAGTGTAGCCACCACCACAAGGATATCTAAAGACTTCTTTTCATCTAGGATAAAACCAGGGGTTTCCATAAGTGAACATTTAATATCTTTGAACAAAATAAGAGCTGAACTGCATTTGAGGGGGGAAGTGATTTCAGACCAAACAATGAAAAGTGTCATTATCAACTCACTTGACCCATCATGGGACAATTTTATGTCACATTTAGACACAATCAATCTAGGGTATTTATCCATAGAAAGTCTATCTAACAAATTGATAACAGAAGATAATTCTAGAAGGAATCGTTCTAACAATCACACAGAACATAAACCATATAGGAAAGTAGCTTTCCAAGAAAAATATAGTGGAACATTTAAATGTCATAATTGTGGATCCAGGGAACACAATAGAAGAGATTGCCCAAAATTCTTAAAAGAAAGATATAGATCAGAATACAGAAACAAATACGATTATAGACAGCCTTCCATAGAAAGGCATAGATATAGGAGCCCACCAAATCACAGAGAGAATAGAGGGGGCAGAGACAATTCAAAGGATAGAAAGTCTGGTTCACTGAATGGATTAAATAAACAAGACAACACTAACACACAACAAAGTGAGAACAATAATTGGCTTATTGATTCTGGAGCAACTAATCACACCACTAATAACAAAAGTATATTGTCTTCATTTGCAGAAGATAAATTTGTAATTAAGGTAGCCAACCAAGAAAAGTTCAAGTATTAGGTAGAGGAAATGTAACCTTGCCTGGTTTAGGAAAAATAGAGGGGGTATTACTAATACCTGAAATACCTCATAACATATTAAGTGCCATAAAACTAAGCAGAGATTCTGACATTAACATTGTCTTTTCAAAAGGAAAGGCAACTTTGGAAAAGAATAAAATAAATGTAGGCACTGTGGTGACTAAAGGAGGACTACCTTACCTAATAACAAAAGAAAAATGGTTACATAACATTGATTCAAATATGGAAGATTGTATTGAAATAGATGATGAGAATGTTAGCAACAGTGACAATGATGAATGTAAAATATCTCATGATCACACAGATGCACACAACGATAAGAAGCCAAAGATAGGTAAACCAATTCATGATGAGTGTGCTCACATATTGCATAGGAAGTTAGGACATGCCAGTTTTCCTGTAGTGCAAAAAATGACTGAACACGCAGAAGGTGTTAAAATAAAGAATTGTGAAAATTATCTGGAATGCTCAGTATGTAAATCTACAAAACTAAAAACTAGTCCCAGGCCAAGAAAATCTACCAGATCAACTAACAAAATTTTTGATTTAGTACACATGGACTTAGTTGGTCCATTAACTCCATCAATCACTTATAGGAAACGTTACTTCCTGACAATAGTGGACGATTATAGCCGCTATGGATTTGTTTACACACTAAAACACAAAGATGAAACATTTCAAAAATTTAAAGAATTTTACAAACGCATAGAAACACAACACAACATCAAAATAAAACAAATTATGACAGACAGAGGGTGCGAATTCATGTCTAAAGAATTCTCACAATGGTTAAAAGACAAAGGAATGTTACATTACACATCTAGTCCATTTTCTCCGTTCCAAAACGGGATTGCAGAGAGAAAAAATTCCACATTACAAACCATGATTAGATGCACATTGGAAGATGCTGGCTTAAGCAAACAATTCTGGTCAGAAGCCTTACATTATTCAAATTACACACAAAATAGAACATGGTCCAGCATTATAAATAAGACACCATATGAAGTGATGTATAATAGAAAACCAAAATTAGCACACATGCATATATTTGGAGTCACAGCAGACGTACACATACCTAAACAATTAAGAAGAAAGGGAGAAAATGTGTCCAGGAGACTCAGATTTATGGGATATGAGACTGGCACTAAAGGATACAGATTCATTGATAGTAACAACAAATTTATAGTCTCCAGAACAGCTGTGTTCCATGAACAAGCTAACTGGTCTAAATTACATCTTAATGAGATATTCCCAAATAAACATGAAGATACAAAATCTCATGAGAAAGGGACTATAGAAAAACAAAATATCAACAAATATAAAAACAAAACCAAAACTTGGACAAATAGCCAACTCAAAATAAAGACAGATACACTAACAAAAAAGGAAGCAAGATATTTGCATGATAACGATAGTAAACCCGAGAAAATCATTAGAAACACCAGAAATCAAATGCCAAATAAATACAAGGATTATGTAATGCACATGAATGGTGAACTAACAACACCCAATACATACGAGGAAGTGTTAAAACTTCCTCACGAAGAAAAAGAAAAATGGGAATTAGCAATGAAGAAAGAGATGGAAAGTTTACAAGGACTAAATGTATTTACACCTGCATCTGCGCCTGAAGATAAGACAATTATTGGTACCAGATGGATATATAAAATTAAGAATTTAGAGGGAGGAAATACTCTATACAAAGCTAGATTGGTTGCACAGGGTTATGCACAGAAGTATCCAGAGGACTATACTGACACGTATTCCCCCACTGTAAGAACAGAGAGTGTCAAAACAGCTCTAGTGGTAGCTTCAGCACTCAATCTAGATGTATTCCAATATGACATACAGACTGCGTACCTACACGCAAAATTAGATAAAGAAATATACGTGAGAGCACCTCATAGTCCATACACAAACAGAAATGAGACTTGGTTGTTAAACAAGAGTTTATACGGGCTAAAACAATCTGGTAAACGGTGGTATGATTGTTTAGTAAAAGTACTTAAGACCATGGACTTCAACGCTACCACTGCTGATAATTGTTTCTTTATCAAGAGGGGTGATGATTATATTGAATTTGTATTGATTTATGTGGATGACATTTTATACATAGGAAAACATAAAGAAAGAAGAGAAACTTTTGTAACTAAACTAAATGAACATTTCTCATTGAAATCTTTAGGCAAGGTAAACAAATACCTTGGTGTCCAAATTAATAAAACAAAAAGGGGATTCAAACTTACCCAGAGAGATAAGATCATAGATCTTTTAAATAAATGCAACTTAAACAATGCCAAACCTTGTGATACCCCTATGCAAACTGACTTTCTAAGGAATTCTGATGAATCTTCTCCCGAGTTCAAGGACAATACATTCTATAGATCAATCATAGGTTCACTCCTTTACATATCTAATTGGACTAGACCGGACATC